ATTTGTTTCTGACTTTCAGTATTAATAAATACATGTAAAAATCGAAGTAAGTTCAGTTACTTGCTAGTTAGAAGCATTTAAGCTAAAAACGCTCTGAAACTGTTGTGGTACGATCCACCTAATTTACATATTGGAGTATCGACCATATAAATATGGGTTGGTACCGGGAAGACGATGGAGGAAGTAACAAGAGATTCAATCCAGAGACTCTGCCCGACTGCGATTAAGTCAACCTATTCTACAGGAACAGTCTTCCCAAGAATATACCAAAACTAACTGTAAATATTGTGTACCTTTTCCTTGTTTCAATACATTTTGTTTACGTACATTTTGTGTTGTATTACTATTATTCCATGCTTATCCAAGCTTCAACAGAAACCCTATTTGGTTTTAAATAAATTGCATTCTCCAGGTGCAAAAATATTATTAAATTCTACCCAATGTAATCTTTACGAATAGCAGCATAAAATAATGAAGTATTAAAAAACACAAAGTGAGAAACTTTTATAGTTTGCTTGCAAGAAAATCACGGATAATATTTTTTTATATCTGTCTATATTTCTGAGATGAGGTATTTTAACTATTTACATTATTTACATTGTTTGAACTGTTGTCCTCATCTTTATTGTCATATTCACGGCGTTTCGGCCGTTGTGTGCTCTGGTCTTCTTCAGGTGATATACGTTGGAATTTCGAGCAGAACCCTTTCTTTCCCTGGGGTAGATTGTACTAGTTCCACGTGACATGCCTTTTCTAGATATCCCAGTTTCAGTTATCACCCTTTAGTAACTCAACTCTCCACGTTTTTGTTCACCTCTGCTGTGACCAAGTACTGAACTCACAACACTATAAAAAATTCTTTGTCTCTATCTATAAAAGGCAGGATGTGTGTGTGTGTGTGTGTGTAACGAATTCACGGCCGCAATTTTCGACGGATTTGCACCAAAATTTACATGCACATGCTCCAATTTAGCGTGAAGGCCGAGACCGACTTTGCATTTCCCAACTCCCATCGATAGTGGAAATAATCGATTTTTTCATGCTTCTACGGCAGTTTTCATGTAGTTTGTAGCCATTTTGTACTGGCCAGAGTGAGAGCCTATAGCTGGCTGCCACGAATAGGCAGGAAGATTCTATTGGCCAGCATGAGAGTCAACAGTTGACTGACACGAATGTTAACTAGCATGTTAGCATGCAAAAAAAAATCGATAGCTGCATTCATCAGAAGTGGGAAAAATTTAAATCTGCATTGCACTTTACTCCAATTGGCTCATTCGCTTGCTTAAACTCAACGTTGATTCTGATTCTGCAGAACTGGTTTCGATGTGAAAAAGTATTTGTTGTTAACATTCTTTTTTCACTCGGTTTTTCCAGTTACGAGTCCTTTTTTAAAGCTGATCGTTTTGTGTTCATTTTGTTTAGTTCTTTTTCGTAACAGATTTAATGTTTAGTATAGAGCTTAGAAAAAATTTCGCAGTGTGAGATAGGCAAGAAGTAAGGCATGTAGCAACATCAGCACGGCAAAGGGCACTCCTTTAAAGGCAAGGAAGGGCAAAAATATTTTAAGTCAAGTGATAGCGATTGCTGGATGAGTCGTACGATTTTTGAATCAAGCCCGGGCAACGCCGGGCCATGCTGCTAATACTTCATCAAAACTGTTATTCTTATACACATTTTTTAAATATTTTTCATAGGCAAGTCTTTTCTTCGAATTATTGCACTGAGCCATTTTTTTAGTCTGGAAAGAGATTCATGAATGAATAATAAATAAGAACTGTGCATCCATTTCAAGAATTTACAAATATATGTATGTATGTATGTATGTGTGTGTGTGTGTGTGTGTGTGTGTGTGTGTATGTGTGTGTGTGTGTGTGTGTATGTATGTGTGTGTGTGTGTGCGTGTGTGTGTGTGTGTGTGTGTGTGTGTGTGTGTGTGTGTGTGTGTGTGTGTGTGTGTGTGTGCTGTTGTTTAAAATCTAGTATATTTATGTGGAAATATATCGGTGATTGATATAGAGACAGAGCTTTCATAGTGATTGTCAGTTCCACACCTCAAGCGATGCGCTTGAGCTGTGAAACTTACAGTCATTATGCAGTGCTGATTCCTATGTCCTCTATCACTTTCTCTATCTTTTCATCCACTCACCCACACGAACATCGAAACGCGTATATATATATATATATATATATATATATATATATATATATATATATATATATATATAGGTAGCATTTTTTCATTGATGCATGTTTCATTAAATAGTATAGACACGTTTTGTCTATTTATATTAAGTAAGTTCCTTTCATATTGCCTGATAAGCTTAATAACATTATATTATTGTTTCGTCCAGGTATTGTTTTGATATATTGAAATGTAACTGTCATCTTTGATAATGGCTTATGTAAGCCGAAAGCTTAGATTGGATTTAAACATGTATTAATATGGTGATTTCTTTTCGTCCTTCAATGATAATGTTATTAAGCTTATAAGACAATATGAAAGGAACTTACTTAAAATAAATAGTCAAAACTTGTTTATATTATTTAATGAAACATACATCAATATATATATATATATATATATATATATATATATATATATATATATATATATATATATATAGTAAAAACAAACAGATAATACAATCTGTAAATAAAATGATATCAGGATAAAAATCAAGAAAAAAATGATTAAAAACATCCGTCCCGCTTGAAAATAATCAACCAGCACCGCAATGTTTCGACAAAAAGAAAAAAAATACCGACAGAGTAATTTAAGTTGAAATATGCTCAATACACTAATTAGAGCAATAACTAGATAACTTCAAGAGCCAGAACCTATCTACTTAGGTTTCACCTAACAGCTCATCAGGATCAGCCAAAGTTATCCTGATGATCTGTTAGATGGAAACTAGGTAGTAGAGAGGTTCTGGCTCGTTAGGTTTATATATATATATATATATATATATATATATATATATATATATATATATATATATATATATATATGGGTTAATACAAATAGAAATTGTCACTTAGCTGATTGATATTATATTCATCAGCTCGAGTTTCGCAGATGAACTTTTTTTTGTTATTTTTGATCCACTTTTGATACAGAGGTTTCAGCCATTAACTACCATTTTTTGTTATTAGCGTTTTTTTGTGCTTTTTTTTTTATTATATACTAAGTTTGATGATATAATTGGGATACTTTTATTATTGACGTTAGTTTGACTTTTGAGTGTACGTGTACGTGCGCGCGCATGTGTGTGCGTTTGTATGCGTGCGCGTATAAATGTATATATGTGTCCAACCTCGTGATTGCAGTTATAAAAAAATTAAAGTTTTTTTAGGATTAAGAAAAGAGATTATGTTTTATTTTATTTTTTTTTTTAAGGAAAGATATAGACAATGTGAACATAAGAATGAACGTTGTATGGTGGCTGTCAGTTTTACGTTTCAATCTAATCTACAGAGCAAGAAGGATAAAATTTTATTGTCGACTATTGGGAATCAGTTTTCATATTCTTTGTAAAAACATGTCATTAAGACTTTGAGATATTTTTTTCACATACAAAATGGAGAAAATATAAATTAAAAATATTTTATAATATATTAAATATTTTATAAATCGTTAAAAATCCTAAACTATGCATGATAGAAAATGCAAAACAGAGAAAAGCAATTTTCTTAATACGGTACTCGGACATTTTGTCGACGGACATTTTGTCGACGGACATTTTGTCGACGGACATTTAAACGAATGTGACTTACTTACATGTCTGTCACACTCTTAATCATAATGTACTAAATATATTTATATTTATTTACTGTATTAATTTATTATTTTTTTTTTCGGCTTTTCAAAAATCTATTCAGTATATATTATATTTTACTTCAAATATTACTGTAAGATGATAAGTATTTTGAGAAAAACACATTTTACTACAGCAAAAATTTTAAGCTTTTACGATATGAAAGATCCTTCATTTTCGTTTTTAATGATCATTACCATAAAGGGATGAAATAGCTTTTATCTTCCTGTTAAATACGAATTTAAATAATTAGGTGCTACTTTTTACCCAAATGCACTATTTTTAAAAATATTAATTTCAATAAACATATATTGAAATAAGAATACTTTTAAATTTAAATTTAGATTTAATAATTTAATCACTTGAAATTCAGTGGTAATTGTGAAGTCCTATTCTACCTTATAATACTGCTAATTAAAATACTTAAAGTATTGCTTGTTACTATTTTTACTTGAAATTTTCGGTGAAATGTCCGGCAGCCATATATCTGTCGGCCAAATATCCGGCTACATCTTAATAGAAATAAAGCTTTTCGCATCTGATTTGTCAACATTTTATTTTTGTACACATAGAATAAAGTCATAAATGTTTTAAATATCAGAACCAAATCTAAATTATTTTTTATCTTAGAAATTTATTATCTGTAATTGATTTTTCTAGTGAACATGTCTTTAGATAAATATTCTTTGAATAATCAAACCTCTTATAAAAGTTATCCATTGGATTATCTGATAATGTCTACAAACAACTGAAATGTATATAACAATTTTCGTATAACGTTTTAATAGAAAAAACCTACTTTAACTTGCCGATTTGAATATAAGGGTTTACAGGACAATGTGAAAGCTGGCACCAAGCCAGATTCTTTGAGTGATGAATACATTAACAATGGCTTTGGAGATAGACATTATTGTTCTACGGCAGTTGCTTTCTCGATGAGCATTGAAATCTTTTTCTATATTATTATACCACAAAAGTTTAACAATATTTTCAAGTACAAAGCTTTTCATTCGAAAAGTAGTCCTGATGAATTCTTATATAATTAAATAATAATTAGAAACAGTATACGATTCTTAAATATAAAGTTAAAAGATTAATCCACTCAAAGTGCATTTTGTTTCTAAATTTAAAGAAAACTATTGAAAAGACACCATTCCATATTGAATAGGCGTATAAATGTTTTTTTTAAATACATATTAAATAAGTAGGCAAGAACGTAATGAGAGAGAGAGGGGGAAGGAGGGAGAGAGAAGGTGGGAGGAAGAGAGAGAGAAAGAGAGAGAGAAAGATAGATAGAGAGAGAAAGGTTACGGTATGTATTTCAAAGATGGCTGCGAGAAAGATTTGATTTTGTCAAAAATAAGATTAAAACAAAGAAAAAAAAATGAGAAGATCGTCCAAGCTTCATTTTATTTCTAATATAAATAAATACAATTGACGCTTGCTTGCTGAACGCGCTGTTATGGAAGATACTTCGTATGTTTATGTAATTATGTGACGGTACACTAAGACATAGAATGTAATTACTTTTGGTTTGATTTTAACGTATCTCTGCAGATAGTAATTCATTTAAAATTAAGTTAAATCAGATAATTTCATCACTGGAGGCTTTCTTTTCAAATGAATTAAGGATAAAGAGAATAAAAAGCAGCTAGTGATAAGAACAATCATTCGAATGACGATTTACATACATACATACATACATACATACATACATATATATATATATATATATATATATATATATATTGAACAATATTAAAATATATATAATGATGATAATATTTATATAGCGCTGAATAATGTATTCAGACGGATGTTTTCCTATTTTACATCTTTCAATATCCCCCCTCCATATCTCTCTTTCTCTCTCTCTCTCTCTATATATATATATGTGTGTGCGTGTGTGTGCGTGTATGTGTGTGTATATCCATACAGTGTGTTTATGCGCAAATACATAATTATACTTCTCATATGTATGTAAAAGAATATGACATATTTATATATATATATATATATCCATCTTTATATATATATATCCATCTTTATATATATATATATATATATATATATATATATATATATATATATATATAGGTGTGTGTGTATGTGTGGAGTGCGTAAGCGAATTTTTGTAAAATCACCACTCCCCATGTCTCTCTTTCTCTCTATATATGTCTGTATGTGTATACAGGCACACACGCATATATATATATATATATATATATATATATATATATATATATATATATATATATATATATGTATGAGATAGATAGTTACATATATATATATATATATATATATATATATATATATATATATATATATATATTTTTATTGAGATAGACGCCGTTTCGATATGTCTCTTTGAACGGTGTAATATATTTTATGTTAACTTATCAGATCAATCGACTTGAATTTCAACAATCATATGTGAATGTATGAATATAAACCGATATGTGTGTGTGTGTGCATCAATGTACGTCTGTTGCATTCCAGTTACATACAATATATAAATCTGTACATATACACAAAAAGTATATATATGCATATTTAGAGAGGGATATACAAATATATATGTCATATATTATTAATAGATTGATAGAAAAATAACCAATGATAATGTCAGTTAATTCTCTGTACTTTTAAGGTCTGAAAATATTATGGATAATTTCGAATAGGTATTTAAAATATTATACTCTGTGCTAAATTTAAAACTTTTATATTACTTTCTCGTGGCCAAGACGGGATGAAGAATATTAAGCGTACAGTTTCTTGTAATGGTTAAGCCGTGTTTACAATTGCCTAAGATTTTTTCTCTCTTCGAATTACTTAAATAACATCATCTATTCACAAATGAACAACCATATTTTATACAATAAAAACTAAAAGTATTGGTAGCGATATTCCCTGAGTGTTCAACAAATATAGCCATGTGCCAGTTTAATAAAAGTACGTTGCCTTAATGTTCTCGATTTTAACACTTGTATAATCATTATTCAATATGTAACTAATGTAACTGTTAATGGTGTGGTAATTAAAACTGACATGCCGAGTTCAAATTCTAACCGAATCTGTTTCATTTCATCCTATAAAGTACATCTGTGTCCTGGGTCAGACGATAAACTACGTCCAACAGCAAGGCCTCTGATCAGGAGGTTTTGAGGAGCGTGGAACCATCTCTTAATTGCTATTGTTCCCAGGTCTACCTTGATCCGAGGTAGTAACACCTGTTGGGGTCCCAGCTATATGCAAATATTTACCCCCCCCCAAACTGGGGTCAAAACGTGTAGAAATATGTTTTTAATACCAGCAATACGTTTTCGTAAAAAATTTTATCAGCTATATTTGAAGGAAAATTATTACCAGAAATAAATTTTTGAAAAATAAAAAAAAATATTACCAACAATAAAATTTTTGTCGGCATTAAATAACCCATTGAGGTTGATATGCCGTAAAACAAAACGAACAAAGAGTTTATTCACTTTGCATTAAAAGCATGAAACCATCGTCCTCTAATCGTGGGTCAGAGTAAGTGGCAGCCAGAAGGAAATCTCTGAATTCCTAATGCTTGTATACAATAGGGAAGACTGGATTATTTAGCCTTGATAGGGTAATCAGTCTAGAAGAAGGACAAATCTAAATTCTAACCAAATCTGAACAGGTACGGACTCTATCTGGCTGTCTTACCCTCGACACACTCACGGCTGCTAAGGTCGCAGTTCATATTATGCTCTACGTCGAGATTTATGACTGCGTGTGATAAGCAATAAATACCAATATAATAAGAGTGAGTTAGTTAGTAAGAAAGAAACAAATAAAAAAAGAAGGGAAATTCGAATAAGAAAGAAAGAAAGAGAGACAGAAAAAGGTACGTAAAAGAAAAAGAGATTTTAGAAAATAAGAAGTAACAAATATTTGCTGAAAAAGAAAAAAGAGAAGTAAAAAGTGAGAAAGGAAAAAAAAAAACAATGTTTCTTTCTTTTTTTATTACCTTTTTCCTTTGGTTACAAGGAAAGTCGTCGCAGTTTTCAGATCATTGTATTTATTTAAAAACGGCAATTACATTCGTTCTAACAAAATATAATGAATTTATATCTAAATTTTAGCAATTTAAATATCTAACATTATATCTAATATCTAATTTAAACATCTGTCTATTTTAACAGAATTTGAATGGAAAGTGTGACACTGAAATCAGAAGTCGTATTGAGATCGCGAAAGATGTCTTTCAAAAGTTAAGCAAAGAACAGAATAATTTTCGTTAGAAACAACAAAAAAGAATACTGAACCTTTATGTAATACCAGGCCTCTTATATGGCAGTGAATGCTGGATAATCTTTTCACAGATGAAGAAGAGACTTGAAGTAAACGTGCTTCTACAGAACGATACTGTGGATACCATAGACCGAACATGTGAGCAATGAGGAAGCTTTAGAAAAAAATGGAAGCACAAAGGACACTTTCAGTTAACATCAGGAAGAAACAATTGTAATTTCTGGGGCACATAATGAGGAAAGAGGGCTTGGAAAATTTGATACTCACAGGATATATTGAAGGCATGATAAACAGAGGAAAGCAATCCCTGCCTAGCGAGCTTGCTAAATGGATGGCAGAACAAGGTTTAGCAGAGATAACAAAAAAAAAGATAAAATTTATTAAAAGCGACAAAGGACAGGACATTGTGGAGAGCCATGATCGCCAACATCTTGAAGGGACACGGTACATAGAAGAATTTAACTCAAATTTAAATTTATGAACTATCTACAAAACCTCTTTGTACTATATATATTTCGGTGGGATTTATAGGCAGGCTCTATGGCAGTGGTAATTTTACTCATGAATATGTCGTATTGTTTGCTTCTATGGAAAGTCAGTCAGTCAGTCAGTTATGTGCCATGCGTGATACACGCTTTCGATACATGACTGACGAGGCAGATTTTTTTCCTGCAATAAGTTGGCCATTTCTTTCTGCAGTAGATCAATCGCCATCCAAGTCTACAGAACCCGGCCCGTCCTGCTATTTACCCATATGGAAAGTAAATGCAGTTAAATATCTATATTCTTATTCTAGTCGGCCTGAAGAGACGACCGTGCCAAAGTCGGTAATAACTGACTGATGAAATGTAGATACCTCCACTAGAGATGCACGCACAAACACACGCTCCACATCATACACATACACGCCTACATTTATACTCCCAACACCCCATATATATATATATATATATATATATATATATATATATATATATATATATATATATATATATTTTGGATAAAAAACAGACCACATTAAGGTTCCGTGTAATAAATTATTTCACCACAGCCCTTTTGGAAGTAAAGTCTGATGATCCGCAGTCATTTAAAAGGGCTGTGGTGAAATAATTTATTACATGGAACCTTAAAAGTGGTCTGTTTTTTATTCAAACATATTTGCTCTAATTTACATTGAGCTCTCCGGATATCATCCTCCTTGGGTCTATCCATACAGATTACCTAGTTTTGCATAAAATATATATATATATATATATATATATATATATATTTATTTTATATATATATATATATATATATATATATATATATATTTAGTTTATATATATATATTTAGTTTATATATATATATATATATATATATATTTATTTATATATATATATATATATATATATATATATATATATATATATATATGTTTGGTGTGTGTGTATGTGCTTGTGTGTGTGTTTTGTCCCATTCTTGGATTAGAAAATAGGAAGATGAAATATACGTGAAGAGTTTGTCTGTTTGATTTTATAAAGTGCTAACCTTTCTCAGAGCCAGGAAAAGGCGGCTGAAATTCCTTGGACACTTAATGAGAAAGTGGGGCTTGGTAAAGTTAACCTTCACTTGATTCACTGTGGTCTTCCACAGTGTGCTTGTCAAACACTCTGCCTCCAGGCAAAGAGGAAGCCAGACGAGGCTATGCCAAAGGGCAGAGTCTCGTCTGTTATAAGTAGACAGCTACCCGACCCCGTTTTTTACGCGGTCTACGGAGAATTTTTGGCCGAGACTACGGGCTTGGTTACCCCACAATAAACTCGGCCTTGTGCCACATCCGACCGGGTGGGGCGGTTAGTGAATATCTGCATGGGGCGCGTATTGAGGGCAAGAGATTTAGAAAGTGATAAGAGCCATGATCGCCTGAATGGACACGTTACGTAGAAGAAGAAGAAGAAGAAGAAGAAGAAGGAGAAAGAGGAGGAGGAGGAGAAGAAGAAGAAGAGGGAGGAAGAGGAGGAGGATGAGAAGTAGAAGAAGAAGAAGAAGGAGGAGGAAGAGGATGAGAAGAAGAAGAAGAAGAAGAAGAAGAAGAAGAAGAAGAAGAAGAAGAAGAAGAAGAAAGGCGAAATCAAACTGTATTTTAATTATAATATAATACGTATTTACTTAGCTCGGGAATCGATAAATATCTGCCGTTTACATTCATAAGCAATTACTTGGTCACTGTAAAAATTCGTCGTTGAGATTTGAGACTAAGACATTTACTTGATTGAGGAAAAAGTAAATATTGGTCATTTATATTTGGGTCTAAGCATTTACTAAATTAGGGAACAGAAGTTTATTCAATAACCATTCATTAGAAACAGTATCTTCCGGCATTTGAACATAGATTTCACCATCTTGGTCAAAATATGCTCTCCGGACTATAGTATTGACGAAATGTAGCTTGACTGCTTGAAAATGATTAAATGTTATTAATATTTAAAAAGTAATGGCTAATTATATGTTTGAAGAAACTGCATCTAATTCACATTAAAAGAACTTAATATAAAAAAAAAATGGCTAATTAATTGGTGACTCTCTACGATTACACGTAGCAAATTCATCACTTAAGGATTCAGTAAAAGCAAGATTCCAAAATGTTTTCATGAAAATCATTCCATTCAAAAGAAAGGTGATATTGCTATTAGAACGCAAGTGTGTGTGTGTGTGTGTGTGGGGGTAACGGGTGTGAAAGTGAATGCTAAGACTTTAGTAAGAAGTTAGGAAAGGACAATATAGAAACAGGTTTCGGGAAGCCATAAGATGACGATTAACGTTACATTTAAAGGGTTTAAGATTGTATGTGGCAAAGAAGCAAGAAATCGGAAGATAGTTTCACAGGTCAGAAGTGCGAGAAAAGAAACTTTTAGAATAGAAACGTCGGTTGCATCTAGCTAGTACAACAGTAAAAGAGTGAGACCTAGATGCCAATCTAGTTGCACGCTTGAATTTATGTAGTCAAGGCACTAACGAAAACATCTCATCAGAACAGTTGCCATGAAAATCTTTTTAAAAAAGACAGAGGAAAGCCACGTCACGTTGGCAGGAAAGGAAGTGAAGTCGAGATATCAGAAAAGGGTTGATTCTATTGCAGACACTTCTTTGAATTTTCTCAAGCATCTCAAGATATAACAACTGGAGCACCAGACCAGATTCAATTCGAGGACTAATGCTAGATTTATTAGATTTATGTGTAAGATGAAAAAATTCTTGCACGACACAGTGAACCAACCTTCCTTTTCTTTTTTTTTTCTTTTTTTTTTTTGATATTTCGTATTTTTTTCTTTTTTCTGATATGAACAATTAATTACTGTCATCCACGGTTATTGTTTGGTTCGGTTGATCTTGTTTAATGGCATATCAACACCTCTATGAGTCATTTAATGCCGAAATGTAAATATTTTGGACAGAATATTATGACTTCAACTCATAATATTTTGCACGCAATTACATGCCTTCAACTACAGGTAAAATGTATTGTTTTTCATTTTGCTATAAAATGTATTGCTGGTGTTTTTATATAATAATATATTACTGATATTTTACAATAAAATGTATTTGTATACATTCGCAGTGTTTTCTTTAGGGGTTCAATATTTGTCCATAGCTGGGACCCTAACAGGTACTACCACCCCTAGGTTATTGTTATACTGTAGTAACAAATGTTATACCAGGTGTCACAGCTTGCCCAGTATGACCTGGCCGTATCGTATGATCCTAACTTAACAACTCATATCTTATTTTGAAATTTGGACGTATGGAAAAAATAAATGGAGATATTAAATCAAGTCATTATTGGCCTCTGTTGGCAAAAGACAAGATTAATTGAATTGTTTCTATTTACGGCTTATCAAACATTTAGTTATTTAAAGCCAGAAAACAGTTTTAGATTATAAGAATGTTTGGGAGATAATAATGATTTACTTATAGAGGTCCGAATAATTAACACATAGCTGGGGGAGAAGAGGTGAATTCCTTTCCGAAGGGTATTTGCTCATAAGAGGATCTAAAGAACCCGATTGGAATGAGAATTCGATGCTCCGATATCCAATTCCAAGCCGTTATCCATTACACCACCCGCACATCCAAGCTTATAGCACCTTGTATTTCCAAGAGGTCAGCCATGTAGGCTCGACTTGACCTAACTTCTGTGATCGTACGGAACCGGTGTTCCAACGTGATATGGCAAAAGACAAGACGAAAAATATAGTTAATATATATATCAAGGCCAAAGTTAATGTATCACTTCTTTATTGGTCGAAAATATTGTGTGGATGTCATTATTGCTAAATACTGTGTTGTTGGAGTAGATCTGCATATATGGACATAACGTAATCACTAATTATTTAAAGAAGAAGAAGACAAAGAAGAAAGCGGAGGAGGAGGAAGTAAAGGAAAAGAAAATGATATGAGTTTGAAGGAAAGACGCAAGAAAGAAAGAAAGAATGAAAGAAAGAAAGAAAGAATGAAAGAAAGAATGAAAGAAAGAAAGAATGAAAGAAAGAATGAAAGAAAGAAAGAAAGAATGAAAGAAAGAAAGAATGAAAGAAAGAAAGAAAGAAAGAATGAAAGAAAGAATGAAAGAAAGAAAGAATGAAAGAAAGAATGAAAGAAAGAAAGAAAGAAAGAAAGAATGAAAGAAAGAATGAAAGAAAGAATAAAAGAATGAAAAAGAAAGAATGAAAGAAAGAAAGAAAGAAAGAAAGAATGAAAGAAAGAATGAAAGAATGAAAGAAAGAATGAAAGAAAGAAAGAATGAAAGAAAGAATAAAAGAATGAAAGAAAGAAAGAATGAAAGAAAGAAAGAATGAAAGAAAGAAAGAAAGAAAGAAACAAAGAAAGAAAAAAGAAAGGAAGAAACAAACAAAGAAAGAAAGAATGAAAGAAAGAAAGAAAGAAAGAAAGAAAGAAGATAATAGGTACATAATAAAAAAGAATTAAGAAGAAGAATGACATAGAGGAAGACAAAAAGAAAAAAGAGACGGATAGACAGATATCAAATAATGCTGTGTAAAGGAAGAAGAGAGGGAAGATAAAACAGGGAGAAAGAATAAGAGAGAAAGAGAAAAGCTGTTGAATAGGGAGAAGGAGAAATGTGGATTAACAGTAAGTAGCGAGTTTCAAGAGGAGACAGAGGAAGAGGATGCAAAACATGGGAAAGGACACAACGACTCAGGGAAGAGGTCAAGAGGTCAAGAAGCAAATGAACAATAAAGATGAAGTGGATATGAAGAAAAATATGATTGGAGGAGGATGAGCGTTGGGGGAAAATATGTTCACTGGAGGAAGTGGCCGAGATTGAAATCAGTGATAAAAAAAATTTAAAAATAAAAACGAATGGCAGTTAGGAAAGCGCCATTTTACACCTTTATCGCTGTTATTACCGATGGAGGCGGCGGCGTCGATATTTTATTGGAATGTGAATGCGGAGGTGGCGGGGGTAGAGAAGGAGGTTCAATCGGATGGATATCGATAACTGAAGACATGGAATCAACATGACGATCTATTTTTGGTGTTGAATGTCGGCTTGGCAAAATCGAAAAAACAGAACAGGTTGTCAAAGGGTGGAAAATGATTGGTCGTGACAGTTGGCAAAAGGAAAAAAAGGAAGACGAAAAGAGAGAAACAAAGACCATTGGGAAATAAAGAGAATAGAGAGGGGGAAGAGCGGTATGAAAAGAAAGCATGAAAATGAAACTTAGAGAAAAAGAGAGAGAGGAGATAATGACAATGACAGAGAGATAGAAAGAGAGAGATAATATAATATAAAGATAATTATGTATAGAAATAGATAAATAGAACATATATAAATGTGTATGTGTGTGTGTACAGAGAGAGAGAGAGAGAGAGAGAGAGAGAGAGAGAGAGAGATGATTTCCACATGCAGGTATGAAAATAAACTCTTACTACCTTACCTACAAACCTATCATGACTCAAAAGACTAAACAGTAATGATTTAATTTTACTTGAAATACCAAATTTTAGAATCAAATGGAATATATGAGTAAATACAGTGTAACCCGGATATAAGAGAGTTGTCGGGACCGTAGAAGAAGTCTCTTATATCCGGGTTTCTCTTATATCAGGGTTTGGTCTATTTTGTTTAGGTAAGTAAGGCTCTAATTTGGGACCAGAGAAAATCTCTCTTATATCCGGGTTTCTCTTATATCCGGGTCTCTTATATCCGGGTCTCTTATATCCGGGTTACACTGTAGAATGAAAGTACAATATTATTAATAAAACAATATTTATAAGAAGTTAAATAAAACTAACACTTACGCACATCTTTAACTTTTAAACATTTAATCTGCATTATTGCTGTTTAGTGACGTAACGTCTAAGCCCGCAATATATATATATATATATATATATATATATATATATATATATTAAGACATTTTTTATGTTTATACGTTATTTTTATAAATACAAATATTTAAGTAATGCTCTGTTTATAATAAACAGTATTAACAACATTAACCGGCCTGAATGTCCGAGAAATTTTCATATAAAATATGCGTCTTTCGACAGGCTAAATGAATCACGTCAGGCTAAATGAGGGTTCCGTATAGGATACAGGTTCGATTCCTGTCGGAGGATGCATATTTTCTATTAATTTTCTAGTAAAGTTAATGTAATTGATGGCGAATTCACTTCGCTAACAGATTAAATAAAGCATTAACTTACTAACTACTCATAGAATGACACGATCTTTGTTGTTAAAAATTTTAAAATGGATTAAATATTCAGTCCATTTGTAATTACTTTCGATGAATCCTTTCATCATCTTCAGCTATGGATATTATTTTTCAATTACAGGTAATTTCAGGTAACTTCCAAGAGGAAAACAAATGTAATATATATATATATATATATATATATATATATATATATATATATATATATATATATGAATTTATTAAAACAAATTAACTATTAACAACAAAACAAAATGTCCTTAGCAACTGGAATAATTTTGTTTTTGTTGTTAATAGTTACTTTATTTTAATAAATTCATTTCGTTTCTTGCTTGGACGAAACGCGTCGGCTATATATATATATATATATATATATATATATATATATATATATATATATATAGAAGAATGAGAGTTAAATCCAGTTAAGAATAAATTAACGAAACAAAGAGATGACATCCAAAAGTTAAGCAATGTACTATCAGACAGGACAATTTTGTTAGAAACAAATGAAATACTATCTAAAGAAAGTATCGACAGTTTCTTGACTATGTTAATCGCTTTAAGGTGTAGCTTCCATACGATCAAGCAAAATCTTATTAAAATTTTATTGTGACCAGCAGACGCTGAAAAGTAGGTACATTACAACAAAATAATGGTGGAGATAGCGAAATTAAACATGACGAGCCATGATTAATCATCATTTAAATAAGACAATATATATATATATATATATATATATATATGATGGAATAGGAACGTAGTATTTACCTATGAAACATACCATTGCTTCAAACAAATATTACTCTCAATTAGAGCAAATGAAAGCAGTAAACCTCAACATAATATTCTATCAGGATGACATTATTCAGCAAGTTTCTTGGATGTTGGTCAGCAAAAAAAAAAAAAAACAAAAAAAACAACTTACAACTTGACTGCGAATTTCTCACTCATCCAGTGAATTCATCAGAAATTGAATCTTCGGATTACCATTTCGTCCGGTCCTTACAGAATCCTCTTAATGAAAGAAAACCAATTTTCTTAGAAAACTACAAAAGGTACCTTAAGCAGTTCTTTGCTTAGAAAGATAACATTTCTGGGAGAATGGAATTATTCAGTGGCCTGAAAGATGACAGACAATAGTAAAAGAAAAAAAGTGAATATGTTGTTCAATAAAGCTAAAGAAAGTGAGAGAAAGCAGAAAGAAAATAAACAGTGACAAAGAGAGAAAAAGAAATATGGCCAAAATAGCAAATAAATATTTAAAAGAAGAAGACGAATAAAGAAAGAGAATGAATAACCGTGATAAGAAATAAATTAATACATAAAAGAAGAAAATTATGAATAATGAAAAATATTGAAAAAGGGAAAAGAAAGGGTGTAAAGATGAAAGGAAAAGAAAAAGGCGTGAAAAAGAAGGCAAGAAATTGTGAAAAAATAGAAAAAGACAGGGGAATATTCATGAACAAGAAAAATTGAGGAAAAAAAAAAACAAAAAGAAAGAAGAAAGAGAATTAAATGAATTTAAAAATAGCATGACGATGCAAAAATATTAGAAAATAGAAAGTGGAACCATAAAAGGAAAAATAAACTTAGGAAAAGGAAAAAATTTTGTAGGAAAACATTTTCTAGGAAAAAAGTAAGAATTTAAGAAAATACAACACCGAGAATAAAATAAAACCGTAATATAGAGAGTCTGTCTATATTTCTGAGATGAAGTATTATGTACATTATTTACATTATTCGGACTATTGTCCTCATCTTTGTCGCATTATATTTATTACAACGTTTCGGCCTTTGTACGCTCCGGCCTTCTTCAGGTGGTTGGAATTTCGAACTGGACCCTTTATTTCGCTCACTGGGGTAGACTGTTCTAGTTCCACTTGCCGTGTTTAATGGATGTCAGTTATCAGTTATCTCCTGTTAATTTCCATCTGAAAGTTCTCCACTGCCTTAACCGGGTATTGAACTCACACTCTTTGGGTCCTGTAAACTGGATCTAACCAACACCTTTATCCACGGTGCCATGTGTCCTTGAGAGATTTCATTTGATAAAAAAAAGCATCTTCTTCTATTTGCCATGTCCTTTTCAGAATGAAGGCGATCAACGTTTTTCTGTTTTTGTGACTCTTAATAAATTGTTTCTTTTTTTTTTATAATGCCTAAACCTTGTTCTGCCATCCATTTACTCATCATCACGAAGTATGTCAAGCATTGCCTTCCTCTGTGCCCCGTGACTCCAGTCTGTTTTGTGAGTATCAAATTTTCCAAGCCCTCTTTCCTCATTATGTGTCTTACAAATTTCAACTATCACTTTTATCACATGTGCGGTTCATGGTATTCTTACCATCCTCCTGTAGAACTACATTTCTGCTGCCTCAAGTTTCCTCTTTGCTCTTCAGTATTCATACGAATTTTTTATGCTTCTTTACTATGTTGGTCGAGCGTGCAGTAGAAATATAAACATTAAAAAAAAAGCCTTCAATGTTAATAATATGTAATATTTCTCTTTCAGTTTTCTCACAATTTCAGCTGAGATAATATATCGTTCAACATTTATCTCTTTAACAGGGGGAGACAACTTTGTGTAAAGTGCTACAACCAGAAGGACATCAATAGCTGTCTATTTTATTAAGAATTATCTCATTAGCAGACTGATCACTGGGGTTTGTCCGACTTTTATGATTACAGAATGACAAGTACATCTGTAATGTCTATTTTTGTCGTGCTCTTGTATTTGAGATTAAATCTTAACTATATTCGATTCAAGTTCTACGAAACTATTTTCAGCTCTTTATGAGAACCGTGGAAAGGCTGAAGAGGATTGATCCTCTTTGAAACGGACGGTCATTCTTTGGATCTCGTGGATTGGCATTACAGAATCACGAACGAAGAACTTTATCAAATTGCAAAAACCCACAGCACTTGAAGACTTTCAACAGCAGCACGTAAATCGAAAAGAAAATCAAGATGTTCACTTTCAAAACTACCTTAAAAAAAAAAGTTAGGAAGGAAACTCCCATTAATACTAGAAAGGGAAATAACAGCCAATTAACTTGAGAAACTAATTTTCCCGGAATAACTGATTTAAGAAATAATGTTCGAGCAGTAGATGCCGAATGTTTTCTTACAAAGAAGAGACTAATATTACAATTAGTATTAGGGACGTCAACAGATACTACACTTTGTATGTACTCGTCCACCCACAGTGACGAGATATGATGCAAGCCCTGTGGGGAGCCTAGCGCATTCACCTGGGATAAGGCATAAAACTACCCGATCCCAGCAACCAAAGTCACGCTGGCATCGATTTTCCACCAACCCTCCCTCTTTGACACAATGGGGGAGATGCTGTCGCAGAGTTGGAATCCCCGGTAAAAGCATCCCTCATTTATCTGTTGTGTTCTATCCGAAGACAGAAACACATTTGAGAGATAAAAGGCAGTTCGTAGGTAGATTGTATTTACTTATTACCCAAGGCTGGCAGGATGCTACACAAGGACAGTTTAATATCGTGGAGTCTGAACGCGTGCACACAGGACCAAAAATAACCCCCCCCCAACACGCACACACACAAAACACACACACACACACGCACGCACTTTCGTGCAATGTGGAAGGCACTGCCCTGGAACTCTCCCCCGAGACTGGCCATCACTCAATATTTTCAGTTGCGCTCTAACCGAAGACAAAGATACAACGAAGTTACGCTCGGTCCGAAGAGAAAAATACAGTTGAGAGGTAAAATGTATTTTATTTTTACGCACAAAGACATTTAGGAGATTTTGATCTCAGCCCGATGTCCGGGGAGTGAAGAAAATCATAACTCGGGTACCCCTAATATAATAAGGAACAGAAGAAGCACCTTGACGAAGGCTTTAATAAAAAAAGAGTGCTGGCTAAGAGCAAATAAGAATACAACAAACACAAAAAGAGGTATATATATATATAATATATATATATATATATATATATATATATATATATATATATATATATATATATATATATATATATATAAGTTATGAAGAACTTGGTAATCCGTATGTTTAATTCCAAGGAGGATGAAATGAAAAAGATTTTTTTCGTTACATTTCATTTTTGGAAGTGCTATCTGATGATCCGGCCTCCTTTAAAAGGCTCTGATGAAATAAATTATTATAATGGTACCTTAAAATGGTCTGT